AAAAACCAAAAAAAAAAAAAAAAAAAAAAAAAAAAAAAAAACAAAGGATATAAAGGAAAAGGACAATTAACAGTGGACTTGACTTACAAGATTAGAGATCCTAGAAACAGAAAAATCAGTGAATGTCATGAAGACAACAAAGATTTAACAAGAACAAAATCAAAGAACTAAAGCTTTCAGTGGATTTATCTGAACAGGGTTTGTATTACAGGGTAACTCTAAAACTAATAATTCTTTTTCTTTGTGGTATTAATTGTTATAGATTAAACCTAGGCCTTCAGCTCCATGGTTTGGTTGGTTTTATTGTTCTGTTTGATAGTTAAATCCCTAAATTGTCCAGGCTGGACTCAAACTCATGAATCCCCTGCCTCAACCTAACAGAGTACTAAAATTACAAGTGTACACCATCCCACCAGACTTAGTCTACATTCTGACTGTGAAATAGATTGCAATGGCAGTGCCAGGTGTGATGGTGCATGGCTATAATCCAGCACCTGGGAGGCTGAGGCAAGAGTATCACTGTGGGTCTGAGGCCAGCCTGGGCTACAAAGTTAGTTCAAAACCCACCTGAACTGCACAGTGAAACCATCTCTCAAACAGCCAAAAAAAGACTGCAGTGCTAGGATACTCATTAATCTACACAATGCAGATTGCAACTACTTTTTTTCATCTGTGCATCAATTAAAAAAGTGTATGAAGGCATAAATTTCCTCATATTGAAACAGTGCTTTAACTTGCTCTGTAGTATCATCACAGAACACATTTATAATTGAATATAAACATGATGAGAATTAGTAATTTTCCCAGCAAGCTTGGATTCACTTTTTACTCTGCCTCTGGTGCCTTCCTTTAGTAATGACTCTTGACTTTTCTTCTTCCAAGTCTCATACTTTCAATTTTCCAAAAACCAGTCTTATCCCTATTTCTGTGTTTAATTCTGTTTTTTTGTTTTTTGTTTTTCGTTTTTTTGAGACAGGGTCTCACCATGTACTTCAGGCTGGCTTTGAACTCACTTTGTAGCCCAGGCTGGCCTCGAACTCACAATGATCCTCCTGCCTCAACCTCCTGAGGGCTAGGATTACAGGCGTGCGCCACTATGCCCAGCTTGCTTTCAGTCTACTTTGTAACCACACTTTCTTTTCCACTCTTGAGAATCTTACAAGTCATGTTTCCAGCTGGCCCTAGAAACATTACAAACATTTTACCAATTCAGAAGTATAAAAGGACCCCTGAAGTCCCTTTAGTGCTCCCTGTTTATAATGTGATAGTCTTAAATATTTCCTCTACAATACACTGAGAACTCCATCAGGAAGTGTTAATGATTTTTCTTTCAACCATTAAACAAAAACGAGAAACTCAAAATGAAAATCAAGTCCTTTGGGTTTACTTACATTTTTTTGCTCTTTTCATTGTTCTTCCTTCTTTCCTAATACGCCACAATTCCTTTTATGTTTTTCTTTCTCTTCAAAGACATTCCTTGAAGCCATTCCTTCAGACTATGTACACTACTAATAAATTCTTACCTTTTCTTCATCTGATATTTAGTTTCCCTTTTACTTGTAAAGTATGTGGTTGTAGCCTGGCGTGGTGGTGGCGTATGCCTGTAATGCCAGCACTCAGGAAGCCGAAACAGGAGGATTGTTGTGAGTTGGAGACCAGCCTGGGCTACAAAGTGAGCTCAAGGCCAGCCTGAACTGCACAGCAAGACCCCGTGTCAAAAAGACCAAAAAACAAAAACATATTAAAAAATATAAAAATAAAGTATGTGGTTGTGTTGACAGTTTTCTTTGAGCATTGGAGAAATGTGACCTCTTATGGTTTCTCATGAGAAATCCACTGTCAATTCAAAATTGTATTTCCCCTAAAAGATACTGTTTCTTGTGGCTTTTAAGAGTGTATTCTTGGGGCTGGGGATTTAGCTCAGCGGCAAAGCGCCTGCCTGGCAAGCGCAAGGTCATGAGTTCAGTTCCCGGTACCGGAGAAAAACCAAAAAAAAAAAAAGAGTGTATTCTTTATTTTTAGTCATCGAAAGTTTGTAAACTGTCCTTCTCAACATGGATTTTTCTGAGTGTACCCTTTAGTGCTCCCCAACCACTTTGGCACCAAGGACAAGTTGGAGATTGGGGTGTGGATGATGGTTTTCAGATAAGCACATTACATTTATTGTGCCCTTTATTCCTATTATTACATTGTGTTCTTTATTAGTATTACTTTTACATTATACTGTCCTAAGTTTACAATAGGGTTCACACTCCTGTGAGAATTCAATGGGAAGCAGCAGTACAGACAGATGAAGCTTCACTCAGCTGCCTGTCCCTTACCTCCTGCTGTGCAATGTGTTCCTAACAATCCATGGTACCAGTCCATGGCACCAGTGGACCCCTGCTGTAAGGAGTTTGCTAACTTCCAGCATCTGTGATGTCATATCTTTTGTCAAATTTGGAGAATTTCCACCATTATTTCTTTAAATTATTTTTCAGCCTTTTTTGTAAGTCTCCAGTAACACAGATGTTAGAGATTTTTGTTGTAGTTCATGGGCAGACATTGCATGTTGCAATTTTTTCCCCTCTTTTTGTAATGCTGGAGATGGATCCAAGGACCTCACAAAAGCTAGGCAAGGGCTACATCCCTAATCCTTTCATTTATCTTTCTAATAAGTCTACTTTTTTTCTTCTACAGCCTGGGTCATTTCTTCTCTCTTACCTCCTATTTTTTCCTATCTTCTCTCCATTGTGTTACTATGCACATTCCCTGATTTTTTTTCTAAAGTGAAAATTTATTTTAAAACAGTTTTAGAGTCACAGAAAAGAGGCAATTTGAGAAAGGTGAATCCTTATATATCTTGCATTCCATTTTCCTTACTGTTCAAACTTTATACTATTGTGGCAGAATTGTTAAACTAATAACATAATATCGACACATTATTAAATATAGTCCCTATTTCTGGCAGATCTCCTTTTTTGTTAACCTAATGGTTTCTTCCTGTTTTGTAAGTCTATCCATGATTTCACACTAATTGTCATCATGTATCCTCCAGGGTATAAGTGATGTGCTTTGTTTTTTAAGAGCATTAAGAGTTTATTTATTTGTCTTTTTGAGACAGGGTCTTATGCAGTTCAGGCTAGCCTTGAGCTCATTTTGTAGCCCAGGCTGGTCTGGAACTCACAACAATCCTCCTGCCTCGCCTCCCAGAGTGCTGGTACTACAGGCGTGCACCATCATGCCAGGCAAAAGCATTACGAGTTTAAAGGACATTGTAGACCAGCCTTCAATCTGGCATTGTTGGATGTTTCTGGCATAGCTAAAACAGGCGTTGTGCTTCTTTCTAGGTGTTCCCCCAGAGCCTTGTGTGCTCACAGGTGGGGTTTTTTGGAGGCTGTTAAATCTAGGGTGTGTGATACTGGGATTGAGTGTGTGGTATTAAATTAGTCCATTGATTTAGCATAGTTCTGGGCATGGTTAATGGGAAGGCCCGCCCTGGGTGAGTGACACCAATCAACGGACTTTTATCCTTGATGGAATATGAGGAAAAGAAAAAAGGCAGGTTTCCTACTCACTGCTTTCTGACTGCTTGCTGCATCATGAC